CCCCAGCCTCCCAAGTAGCTGGGACCACAGACGCCCGCCACAACACCTGGCCATTTTTTGGTTGCAGCCATCATTGTCGTTTGGCGAGCCCAGGCTGGGGATTCGAACCTACCACCTTAGGTGTATGTGGCTGGTGCCCCAGCCACTTGAGCCACAGGTTCCGAGCCGACTCTTGGGCTTAAGTAATTCTCTTGCCTCAGCCTCCCAAGTAGCTGAGACTACAGATGCCCACCACAATGCCCGGCTCTTTTTTGGTTGCGGTTCTCACTGTTGTTTGGCAGGCCTTGGCTGGATTTGAACTCGCCAGCTCCAGTGTATGTGGCTAGTGCCCTAGTGGCTTGAACTACAGGCGCCAAGCCGAGACAGGCATTTTTAATGCTCAGGCTGGTCTTTATCTCCTGTGATCAAGCAGTCCATCTGCCTGCCTTGGCCTCCCTGAGTGCTAGGATTATAGGCATGAGCTCCTGCCACTGTGCCTGGAATGTGATAGTGTTTTCAAAGTAGGTCACTCCTTTGTTTTTCTTTCCTTTCCTTCCCCTTCCCTGCCCCTTGCCTTCCCACTGTGTCACCCTCAGTAGAGTGCTGTAGCGTCACAGCTCACAGCAACCTCAGACTCTTGAGCTCAGGTGATTCTCTTGCCTTAGCCTCCTGGGTAGCTGGGACCACAGGCATCCGCCATAACACCTGGCCATTTTGTTTTTTCATTGCAGTTGTCATTGTTGTTTAGCAGGCCCAGGCCAGGCTTAAACCCGCCATGTGGCTGGCGCCCTACTCACTGAACTAGGGGCACTGAGTCTTTTCTTTTTTTTTAGAGACAGAGTCTCACTTTGTTGCTCTCAGTACAGTGCTATGGCATCATCCTATCCTATCCTATCCTATCCTCCCCTCCCCTGCTCTCTTCCCTTCCCTCTCCTCTTCTCTCCCCTCCCATCTTCATTGCCTAAACTAGAGTGCCATGATGTCAGCCTAGTTCATGGTAACTTCAAACTCTTAGGCGCAAGTGATCCTCCTGTCTCAGCCTCCCAAGTCACTGGGACTACAGGCATTCATCACAATGACCCAGCTATTTTTTCTATTTTTAGTAGCCATGAGCTCTCACTCTTACTCAGGCTGGTCTTGAACTCCTGAGCTCAAGGGATGTTCCCATCTAGGCCTTCCAGTAGTGTTAGGATTATAGGCATGAGCCACTACCCACCACTACTGATTTCTCCTTTAGTTTTCTTTTTTTTTTTTTTCTTGAGACAGAGTCTCAGGCTGTCCCCCTGGGTAGAGTGCCGTGGCATTACAGCTCACAGCAACCTCAAACTCCTGGGCTCAAGCGAGTCTCCTGCCTCCGCCTCCCAAGTAGCTGGGACCACAGGCGCCTGCCACAACGCCCGGCTATTTTTTGATTGCAGCCGTCATTGTTGTTTGGCGGGCCAGGGCTGGGGATTCGAACCCGCCACCTTAGGTGTACGTGGCTGGCGCCTTAGCCGGTTGAGCTATAGGCACCGAGCCTCTCCTTTAGTTTTCTAATACATCCTATTTGCTGGTGGGGACTTGGCTGCTGGAACGATGAATGCGTTACTCCTGGCAGAGACCCTGTAGCAGTTATTCTGCCCCTGTGCCCAAAGCTTTTCACATCCAGAAGTTCAGACTGCCCTGATGGATAGGGGTCACTTCCCACAGGGCCCTGGCAAGGCTGCTGATTCCTGATAAGTGGCTATGACAGCTATGAGTTGCTGGGGTCTTCTGGGAGAATTTTGTGACCTTTAGAAGGTAGACACATGCATATTAAACAAGGTTGAAGAATCACACCTGGAACAAAAATGTGGGACAGGCTTGGTGCCTGTGGCTCAAGTGGCTAAGGTGCCAGCCACATACAGGTAACGTGGCAGGTTTGAATCCAGCCCGGGCCCGCCAAACAATGACGGCTGCAACCAAAAAAATAAAAAATAGCCGGGCGTTGTGGTGGGTGCCTGTGGTCCCAGCTACTTGGGAGGCTGAGGCAGGAGACTTGCTTGAGCCTAGGAGTTGGAGGTTGCTGTGAGCTGTGATGCCATGACACTCTACTCAGGGGGACAGCTTGAGGCTCTGTATCAAAAAAAAAAAAAAAATCTGGGACAATTTAATAGCATTTAAAGACTTTTAGCAACTTTTTAATTCTGTATTTGGTACCTGTTACTTAAATGTTTGGATGTGTTAGAATTTTTCTTTTCTTTTTTTTTTTTTTTTTTGAGAGAGTCTAATTTGGTCACCCTTGCTAGAGTGCTGTGACGTCTTAGCTCACAACAACCTCAAATTCTTTTTTTTTTTTAAGACAGCCTCAAGCTGTCCCCCTGGGTAGAGTGCCGTGACATCACAGCTCCCAGCAACCTCCAACTCCTGGGCTCAAGCGAATCTCCTGCTTCCACCTCCCAAGTAGCTGGGACTATAGGCGTCCGCCACAGTGCCTGGCTATTTTGTGGTTGCAGCCATCATTGTTGTTTAGTGGGCCAGGCTGGATTTGAACTCACCACCTTAGGTGTATGTGGCTAGCACCTTAGCCACTTGAGCCACAGGTGCCGAGCCAACAACCTCAAACTCCTGGGTTCAAGTGATCCTTTTGCCTCAGCCTCCCAAGCAGCTGGAACTACAGGCATTTGCCATAATGCCCAGCTATTTTTAGAGACAGGGTGTTGCTCTGGCTCAGACTGGTCTTGAACCTGTAAGCTTAGGCAATTCACCCACCTTGGCCTCCCAAGTGTTGGGATTACAGGCAGGAGCCACGGTGCCTGGCCTGTGTCAGAATTTTTTTTTTTTTTTAGAAACAGAGTCTCATTTTGTTGTCCTTGGTAGAGTGCCGTGGCATCACAGCTCACAGCAACCTTCAGTTCTTGGGCTTAGGCAATTCTCTCGCCTCAGCCTCCTGAGTAGCTGGGGCTACAGGCGCCCACCACAATGCCCAGCTATTTTTTGTTACAGTTTGACCGGGGTCAGGTTCAAACCCGCCACCCTCAGTATCCTACTCACTGAGCCACAGGTACTGCCCTCTGTGTCAGATATTTTTTTTTTAGTTCTTTTTTTTTTTGGCTGGATTTGAACCCGCCACCTCTGGCACATGGGGCCAGCGCCCTACTCCTGCACTGCTCAATGTGTCAGAATT